TTTTATCTTTGCATCTGCAAAGGTTGTGTGCCGAGCCCAGCCCAGGCCAGCCCTTCATTATAATTTAAATTAACTGAATTTGCTTTATTTGATTTGGCTGCTTTAGTGTTTCAGTGGTTTTTCCGGCCCATTTGCTGACTTTGGTACATATTTTCGCTCTAATTGCGTGGCCCAAAACTGAGCTGGCTGTGAGATAAGCCTTTTGCATGGCTCCATGGACGAGCAAGAGTTGCCGATTTTGGGACCATTTTGAATTTATTAGCCAGTGGGTCGAGCTACGCATTTGACCCTAGCGTGGGGTCACCGACTCTGCTGCCTACCAGCAAACATTTTTAGGTTGTGGATTTTAGCCTCAGAGATTTTTTTTGTGAAATTAATGCGGCAAACACTAATTAATTGCGCAGGTGTTGCAGCTGTTTTAGCTGCTGTTGTTTGTTGTTGTTGCACGGGATAAGCCTAATTGAATTTCTGTAGGCTTTTGTCCGGCGCAGAGATCAAGCAAAGGCCTCTTGCCCCAATATAACGTGACAGTAATAAATGATATATCGGGCATGCGGTTATTAAAGTCTTCCCTTTTCAATCACTTTATTTTATTTAAACTTTTAAAATCTTTTTATTTTGAATTTAAGAAATATTGCAGAACATTTATTGAAGCCATATCTTGTGCATTTATTTTTGGGAAGAATTATTGCTTAAGGTCTTTATTTATAAATATAAATAATATATTTTTATTGACAATAATTTTGGTATTTATCTTAAAGACTATTTTCTTGAATAACTTTTAATGCTTAACATATCTTTCAGAGAAGCGTTATGTTACGATATTATCTAAAACCAGCTCACATAACAAACAACTTAGTTTTTACTATTTGATTATTTGTTAATATTTATATTGCTCCTAGTTTTATGGCCATAATTAACTTTATTATTCTTTAGTTTTATAATTGGTTTCTACATTTATTTTTTTAATTTTCATAGTTAATAAATTTACTTGCATGACTCGACATAAAAAACACATTAAATTTGCATATGACTGCGAATACTTAGCATAGCTTTAGCTTTAAGCACATTTCGGGCGGCATCAGGACGGGTTCAGGGTTCAGGGTTCAGCTTGAGCTTGAGTATTTGTGTGTGTGTGTGTGTTTAGTTGGGTCTCTTGGGCCGTATATTCTTTGGTCATATCGCATTATAATGTCAACGTAATGTTGTCGTCAAATAGTTTTTCGCGTGACATTTGCATTTCAGTTTAGCTTGACATCCCGAGTCGCGTCCCGCCCCCTGCCCGGGTCCAATGACATTTCATTAGCGTAGGACCTTCCCATTCCCTCTCCTCACTCGCTCTTTCTCTCTCTCTCTCTCTCTATCGCTCCCCGTCGCCCTTTCTGTCCCTGGCTTTGTAGTGTAACGTGTGCCATTGTTTTCATAGTCGTTTTATGCGGTGTTTATATTTTTATGTCATGCCATATAGTATTTAATATAGTTTATATATATATTATATAAGGTACACGGCGCTATTAGTCCCCGCCCCTGGTACTAACAGTCTATCATGTCTGCAATAAAAGAATTTTATTATTTTCTTATATGAAGTTATAAAACGAGCGCCATTTCCATATTTTTTTCTTTACTTTTTTTTGTTGTCTAGCGAAGTTTTGTTTTTGCCATTTATACCCTATTTTCAATTGGAAAATAGCTATTTGCTGTATTAACCAATTTGTGAACATTTATCATGGGGTAATTTGTGTATATTGTTTTGGCCATGCTCTTGTAGGCAAGCAACAATTTGATATTGTTTAAATTCCCTATAATATTATTAATAATATTTAAGTAATAAAATCAAAATAAAAATTTAGTTGTTCCTTATGGTCTTTGCTAATAAAATTATGCTTCTCTTAAATACATTTTTACTATATCTCTTCATAATTCGAGAAGAGTTTTTTAAAGACAATTTTAAAATTGTAGTCAATAAAAAATATTGTTCATTTTTTTTCTAACCTAAAATTAGATCTTTACAAACAAAAAATTCTCTACATTTATATATTTATAAAAAAAATACATCAAGAAATTGTATTGTTCAAATTTGTCTAATGTAAAATTGGTTAAAAATAATATATTATTTTGCTAATATACACTTAAATCTATCTAAAATAATGTTTTCTTCAAATTAATATATTGTAATGTTAAATTTTTTCTTAATGTAAAGCTGGAGCTAGTTAAAATAATACTTTTTCACATTATTACAAAAAAAAAAAAATAATAATATATATAAATGTTAATTTATTTTTTAAACGTCAACCAAACCATTTCAAAATAATTGATTATATAATTGCTTAGCACATTTTTGAAACTCTTCATTACATTCGTTTTTAATCCACAATTTGGATATACTATACTATTCTTCTATTCTATGCTTCTCTATAGAGATAGAGTATCGCCCAGTCGTTAACTTTTCACTGCAATATTTTTGTTTATTTTTATTTTGGATACTTAAGTCACAGGTTTTGTCTTTTTTTTTGTGCTGGGGCGCGCGTTTCGTGTTTGTCGTTATTATTGTCTATAAATCTATGGCAGTTACAGCAACAACACGTTGACATTATGAATTTATTACTATTTAAATATTTTATATTTGTTATGGCCCTGGCAGGCGACGATGGCACCCAATAAGCGTTGCCAGAGTTCTGGCATTTTCTCTCTCTATTTTCATTTTTGTTGGTTGTTTTTCTTCAATTTTTTTTTTGTTTTTGGGTGGCGTGCGTAACTATTTATGAGTTTGTCTGGGTAAGTTTTGTGCCACAGTTAGAGGTAGTTTGAGTAGGTCATGAATTATCGATGCTGTCAGCAGTAAATATTTGTAATATATGCGATATAATGTTATTTGTTGCACGAGTTCTACAGGCAAATTATCCAAACTAACGAAACTAAACAAAAACTTTGAAGCTTTCGCTTACAGACACTCCCAAGTCACATTGTCTAATGAGTGAAATGGATTTTTTTAAGTGCCCAAATCTGGCTATCAAGTGCCCTTAGATATTGTGGCTTTTGGCAAACCAGTTTCAGTATTTGGACTTTGGCTTTGTATTTATATTGTTTTTTATTTATTTGGTTAATTTGAGGTAGTTCTGTCTGCGGACTTTGGCACCAGACTCTTTGTCACTGTGCTCCGAATTGAGTTCAATCAGAGATAGCGTTCGCCCCGCGGCTAATTATAAATCTATTTGAAAACCGGTATGTTTTTTATATACAGACATATAACAAAACTGAAGATTGCTCGCCTGAAATCTATCGCATCTTGTATACTGTGGCTTAATTATGGAAATGTACCAAGATACGTAGGCAAGGCTCAGAGGCTGATACGATAATTATTGCTTAATGAGTGTACATGGACTTATTGTTCATTAAACATATGTTAACGGAAGATCTCAATGATGCCGTAGAGGCTTTGCTAGCAGCTTGATCTAGTACATTAGAGAAGCTTTAATGTCAATTATAAATAAATTGCTTGCAGGTTAATCTCTGGATTTATAATAACTAGAGGCAGTTCAGTTGATATTGTAAAATTATCAAATGAAATCTTAGTATTTTGAAATTTTTCGCGTAAGCGCAAATTGTTTGCAGGTGTTAATTCTGAACGGCTCATTAAGAAAGGTTAATCTCAGGTTTTACAACTATAGAAAGTGCAATTGTTATTGAAGAATTTTAAAAGTAAATCAAAGTATTTTGAAAATGTTATCTTTATCGGCAATTATATTACAGGTTTATTAAATTAATCTGCATATATCATACTTTTAAATAGAAAGTTTACAACGACAGCTTTCAATTTTGTTCAAAAGTAATTTGCATATTTGAGTGGTTATCGATAGTCGACAGTAGCTTTCGATAGTTCTCGATTTGGAATACATTTTTTTCTGTACTTCCGATATAGCTGACGATATGCTAGTACGAATTGGAACACATTCAGTACGCGCGCAACAAATTATATTAGGGTTAATCTAGGTACTGGAGAGCTAGCTAATTTAGTAATTTAAGAATTGCCTAATTGAATTGAAATGTCTTCAATTATCAATTTAAGAAATTATATAAGGGTAAATTTAGGTACAGGAATTTATTTAACTAAAACATTTTACTTTTTAAATTAAATCTATTTTGTGGTTATTTTTACCTAGCACTTAAAACCTTTTACATTGTTATTTAAAATATGCCTAGTTTAATTTGGAAATCTGTAACTATTTTGAGAAGTTCTATAAAAGCAAATCTAAGTAGATCTGCAGGGTATATTTTAGCAAGCACTTTAAATATTTTATATTTTGATTTTAAAATAGGCTTAATTTAATTACAAAAACTATAATTTTCATATTTAGTATAGAAATTATTTTTAAAAATACGCCAATGCGTATTTTGTTTTTGTTTACGCGCTGTGCACAATTATGTCTCATTAGGCAGTCTGATTGGGCGAATTAGCCCTGAGTAATGGGTACATATTTAATAAAAAAAAAGAAGAGATATGAAAACTTGCTGCATCGCCGCACTCAACGGCACTTAAAAAACAACTCAAAAAACTTACAAATTAACATTAATGTTAATTTCACAAATTGCAAAAAGCAATTAGCAGCTGAGCGCCGCGTTCGTAATGCCAAACAACAACAAAAGCAACACAATAAACCTGGGTAAATCACTCGATGCAATAATTGTAAAGGTAGCCAGATAACAATGCGTTAAGCTTAATAAAATTAAAGATCTTAACAGTTGGCAGCAAATTGTGCGGGTGGACGGGGTAAGATCATGACGCATAGAACGAGTAGCCAACAGACGCCAGGCATCATTAAAAGAGCGCGAGTTAAATAAACTACTTCTAACTTTTGAATCGTGTGAATGAGTGTGATCAGTCAGCTAGAAAAAAGTAAGAGCGAGTGCGAGAGAGAGAGAGAGGGAGAGAATAACAAATAACCAGATGCGAAACGTGGGCAAAGTTCATCAAGTAAAATGATATAAAAGCGTATCGCATAATGCATCAAACAAACAGTTCGAAAGTTCAGACACAACGTAATACACCATGAAATTTTTAATTGTTCTCGTCGCCTGTGTGGCTCTGACTGTTGCCCATGTAAGTGCCACAACTCTATCAAAGTATATAACATATCTATAGCTCTATATCCCAACTCCACATAGGAGCTGCAGCTAACGGACGAGCAGAAGGCCAAGGCAAAGGCCAATGGTGCTGCCTGTGCTGAGCAGGAGGGCATCACCAAGGAGCAGGCTCATGCCCTGCGCCAGGGCAACTTTGACAATGCCGATGCTAAGGTCAAGTGCTTTGCCAATTGCTTCCTGGAGAAGACTGGTTTCATGGCCGATGGCCAGATCAAGTCCGATGTGGTCCTGGAGAAGCTCGGCCCGATCGTTGGCGTTGACAAGGTCAAGGCTGCCCAGGAAAAGTGCGACTCACTGAAGGGCGCCGATAAGTGCGACACCGCCTTCCAGGTCTACCAGTGCTACTATAAGAATCACGCTGAGATCTAAGACCAGGCCCACAAACGGTATTACCAAACTAAAAGCATCTGTGAATTGTCAGCAATTAATTGTCGACCTATCAAAAAAATAATTGTTATGTGTAAATACATGTATTAAAGAACAAATTTACATAAATATTAAACATCAGAGCTTCTTTAAAGCAAATCAAAATTTAATTTAATTCGTTTTTATTTTAATTTTTTTGATTTTGGAGGAGTCATTTTAGAGAAAATTAAAGTATAAAGTCGTCACAGTCCATAGGGTTTCTCCCAATGATTTAAAAGTTTGCACTTCAAAATTGTCAAACTTTTAATAAGCCTTCGCAATGTATTATAAAGAAGAAACCTTATTAAAATAGCATACCTCTATCATTTCTCAAAATATATTCTGAATTGTTTAGCATTTACTAATATTAAACAAAATGCGTAAAATATATTCTTATTTTCCTTCCTTGAAGACGCACTAAAAACGTGTCACTGAATCGTTTGCCTTGGCCAGGACTTTCTACAGTTTATTGCCAATTTCATCACAGAGAAGTTAGACTCATTTATAGATAACCACATTTAGTCGCCTGGGCTGTGAACGAGTGCTATTACCAGACCAGTTTGTACTTAACACTACATTACCAGTTTCTGATAAAGTAAAACCACATTAAAAAAGTTGATAAAACAAAAAAGAGTGCATGAAATCACCAAGAAATTTCAATTATATAATTCACTCGAAAAAAAAAACTAGAAAAACAAGCAAGTTTTAACACTGGTCCATTTCGCTTTAATTTTTTCATTGCGAATAATATCTAATTAAAATAAATTCAAAATATAAGGAAGTTACGTAGCCGAAGTTTTTATACTCTTACGATTTTGAAAGACATGCAAAAAGAGTGCAGCTCGTAAATTCAAGTAAAATCAAGTATCTACTTTCTATGATCGGGCGATGTGAGATAAAATTTTGCATATATGTAAGGAACATAGTGAAACTTAGAAATTCCAAGTTTGCTCAAGATATCTTATAAAAGCAAAAAAAATGTTGATACAGGAAACCCACTTTTAGACCGATTGTTCCTATGGCAGCTATATGATATAGGGAGGGGTCCCAGGGGTCTCAACAAAAATATGTAACAGTTTCTTGGCGATAGCTTTAAAACTGACAGACTAGTTCAAGCATAAACAAACAAGCAAACAGGGGTATATCAACTCGACTGTTGATTCTATGTGACGAAATTTAATATGTATATAAAATATGGGGTCGTAGATGTCTCCTTGTATGCGTTACAAATTCCATGGCTAAATTATAATACTCTCTACAAGGATTTAAAAATAGACCCATTGCAAATTGCTGTAAGATGAGATCGGCAACTTCTCAGTTGTTAGTCCAACGCTTATTGCAAAGCATACTTATATGGTTGTTGTTATTGATGTCTTGGCCATCGTTTTCTTCCCACATGTAGGTCCAATTCCCCAAAGACTTTCATCTTAATGCTAACATTCGACACAAGAGAAGGCTACACTTAAGAAATTCAGTTGATCGCTTGTTAACCAGCTACTAGGGGCAAACTCTTTTACATATATATATAAATACGAAATTTAAATACTGAAAAGTGTTAATTTCTCTGCAGTATTGTGTGTTATTTTATAGATAGAATTTACTTAGGCACAGGTGCAGGTCATTTGGCTGAACATTTGCATAACAGTTGGGCATCATTAGATGGCAGCTGTCAGACCGCCATCAGACGTTAAGTCCTTGGTCCCGAAGGCATTTGCACGTTTGTACAATGCATAAATATTGATGAGCGTCGCTTGAAAACTTTCGCTTTTCTTTTTCCCTCTTTTATATATATTTCTTTTTTTGCTTTTACAAAAGGCGATCAACACGACGTATGCGTAATGTTTGTTACAAATGAATAGGCGCATGTTTGGGACTTGACCTTTCATTGTTGTTGTTGTTGCTGTTGTTGGCTCTGTTCAAAAGCCAAAATCCAATTAACAAATCATTAAACATTCATTGAGCACGTGGCGCAATTGCAATTGCCAGTGGGTCAGTGATGTGTGCAGGTGGGCGGAGTAGACACCTTTTATAGGGTTGCACGCTTCGTGAATACGTTACGTTACGTTACGTTAGGTTTCGCATATAAAGGACAAACGCTTGGGGAATTTGGGAGGCCGGTAGCTGAGCTCTGACTCAAACGACAGGCAGACTATCTGTCTGACTGACTGACGGACTGACTGGCCGACTGACTGGCTGAATGGGCGTCTATAATTCATTTTGTCACTTCCTGGCAGTACGGACTGTCCTGTCACTTCCATTTAGCATCCGTTTCAGTTGCAGTTGTCTGCACAAAAGCCTTGGCATAATCACTGATGCGTTTACTAATGTCTATTAAAAAGCACCCTCTGCCACACCCACCCCCAACGCACACCCGACCCCTCTCCCCTGCCTCCCGCTGCCCAGCTAATGCATTTAAGTAGACAGCTCGTGGTTTCTGCGCTGGCGGCTTGTCAAAGAAAACCCACACGCGTGCTCTGTGGACGCTGCCAAAGGGACAAACACATTGATGCTTCACTAGCCTTTGTCTTGACAGACAGTCGGACATGCAGACAGACAGCCAAGCCAAGTCGAGCCGAGCATTACAGTCCGTACGGAACCGCCAACCAGCCGGGCAACTTTTCTTATTTCGCTTGTCTTGTCTGCCTTGTTAGTTGGCTCAATGAATGTGCTTTTCCATGGTGGTTGGGGATTGACTGCCTGCGGTTCTCACATTAATGTAATTTAATTTTATAAAAACTGCGCTCGGGGGGTTGTTATGTACATGTATATATATATATATATATATATATATATATATATATATATGTATATATGTATATATGTATTGGTGTTGTGGCATTGACAGTTCAGCTGTCTTTACTTTGATCTTAAAGACATACATGTTTCTGTGTTCTGTTTCAGCTAATCAGCACACGTCTGTTAGCGACTTCATCAATTAGATTTAGCTTTTAAGGCTAGCCGAGTTGAGTTAATAAATATCTCACACCTAGAACACATTCTTCGCATGCCTTAAAAACAATTTCCAATCGCTTGAGTAATTGGCCTAAAGAAAACTCTGCCAAAACTAAGCAATTGGAAATGTTATTTACCTTCTATAGCGTTCAAATGTAATAACCTAAGTAATTGTTGAAATTACTTTAAAGAAAAAATTAATATGCAAGTAAATGTGACGAAGATTTTAACTTTTAGTTAAGTGTATGACTATGTTTCACTTATTATTTTAAGATTATTATCTGGATTATCTTGGCGTCATTATATAAGCATTGCTTGTCATCAGTGGCTACGCACTCAGCTGTGTCCTTTCTAAAAATTATCATCGCACTCATTAAAATCTATAAAATTATTCAGAAAATGGCTTTGCCTGTTAAAAGCATTGAGCATGAAATTCGCACTCACATTATATACATACTCTAAATACTGTTGATCCATTTTCGATCAGTGTCTATTCAGGCGTGTGAGAATTAAAGTGTACATATTATTGCAGCTATTAAATAACATTTAAGGCTTATAATTATCCCAAAAATTGGCTTTATAAAATGCCATGCGTCTAGCGCGTGAGTCTCATATACATAGTTGTTCACTGACCGCATTTGAAGGTGCTCAGAAATTATTTGAGGTTATCAGAAATTATTTAAATGTTTAAACGAGTCACCCTGTTGTTGGCTCTCAGCCTGTGTCTCAGTGAAATTCCGCAACTGACTTGGGTAACATAGAGTTTTTAACGAAAGTGTCTAGAGCTAGGTTTCTACTACTCTATTTCTTTCCTTTTCTCATCACTTTCTCTAAGACAGGCGCGTTCCGTCTCTGTTTCGCTGAACATGTCCCTGACCCGCAGCGAACCGGATGAACGAAATGAGAGAATGGCTCCAGCTAAGCTAAATCAGGAGCTACTGCAGTCGTGCATGCGCGAGACGGATGTGTCTATGTCACAGCTGAAATTCTTTCGGCTCAGCCTGCTCTTCAATGATAACAACAACGGGGAGAACGAACTGGCCCTGGCACCTGGCGACGGTGCTGATGCTGAGCTGAGCACGGGCAATAATCTGCCCGACTTGGACTATGGCAATGCGACACCATTTCTGGATTTGAAGCGTAATGAGCCGCTGCAGTGTTTTGTGCGCTGCCTATACGAAAGCCTGGGCCTGGTGCACTATGACATGATGCTAGAGGAGGCATTCCGAATGCAATTGCAGGGCCTCATGCAACGCCTGAAGCCAGAGCTGAAGGAGTGCAGGGACATGAGCAGCAAGAATCGCTGTGAGGCCGCCTATAAGTTGCATTTGTGCTACAATCATCTAAAGAATCTGGAGACGGAGCAGCGACTGCGCGAGGTGCTCGAGCGCAGCGAAACTGGCGGCGATCCGGCAGCCATGGATAATGAGGAGAATGAGAATGAGAATGTTGTGAGTGAAGCGGACAAGACCAACGAGATCAGTCAGCGCTTCAGCGAAACAACGGCACAAGCAGCATAAATTCAACCATAATCTGTATAGTTTACATATATATACATATGTGTGTGTGGCAAAAAGTAAGGCAAAGTTTTATTGCTGCAATAAAAAATGTGTGGCACGCTTTACGGCTGTGCTTGCTCTAATAAACCAAAAAAAAGGCATAATTTTGGGCTACAATTGAGCTGCTCAATTGTACATAAAAAAAAAAAAATAATAATAAAACAATTGTCCAGGTATATAGCATTTTGGAAAAAATATATTGTCGGCGTCCAAAGGTCAATAAACGGCTTAAGCGGCCAAACATTAATATATATAAATTATAAATATATAAAAATATAAATCTTCGGCGTGTCGAAGATATAATATCCTTGAAAACATATTCCTACTGCAACTTTTAGAAAACAGAAAATGTTGCCATGTAAGAATAAGATGTCGAACAACTAGATCCGGTTGGTTCCGACATATGTAAGACGGACCTATGCAAAGTTTCAAGGCGGTATATATACCCACATAGATGATGAGTGTTACATTTACTTATAACATATTACTGTTATCAACAAAGCGTCATAGAATAACATAATCATAGTATAATATCTTTATGTTTCAATAACATGTTAACATAGCTGTTATTGTAACACATATCTAGGTATAGAATTATATCCCATAGTCTCTAACATCATCCCAAAAAATGTAATTCCAGCTATTTTCAGTGTGAATTTCAGCATATAGTCGTGCCAAATAATTAAATAGTTTATACATCAAATTCACAATTATTAAAAGAAACGTATGCAGGAAATAAAAATTTGACGCTAGGTTAGAAATTTGAACAAGCACAATTGTACGCCATTATTGCGAAAATTAAAACAAAATTGAAATTTAATAACTTAATTAAAAGTATTTTTATAATTCGGTGAACTACAAAAGCAGCTAATATATGCAGCTTTGACTATATAAGTAGCTTGCACTAGTACAACAAAAATCAGTTCTAAACATTCGTAACAAGATGAAAGTTCAGATATTTGTGGTTGTTTTTGTAGTGTTCTCTCTCTACGAGCTGGTTCTGGTAAGTATTTTAAATGTCTCAGAACGATTTTTATAGCTAAGCATCACACACAGTCGCAGAGTGCTGCAGACTTGGCTGCCTATAAGGAGAAACAGCAGGCTTGCATCAAGGAGCTGAAAGTACCCGACGCGGAGGCCGCACAAATCGCAGCCGAAAAGGAGGTGGCCAACGCCTCTGAGGCTTACAAGTGCTATCACAATTGTCTGTACCAGAAAATGGGCCTAGTGACAGCCGACGCTAAGCCCAATAGCGAGAACATACTGAAATTTACCCAGATGCGTTTCAACAAAGCACCGCTGGACAAGATCAAGACCCAATTGGCCAGCTGTGGCACAAGCGTTGCAAAGTCCGCCAACAGCTGCGATTTCGCCTACAACTTTGAGCAGTGCATGGTCAAGGCACTCAAGGCATAAAGGGGCAAGGATTTAAGGGTCAAACGGTGCACTTTGCATAAATGATAAGCGAACAGCGGCAATCACGCAATGAAATCCGTTAAATAATAAAGTTATTTTACAATATTAACGCATTTGCCGCATAATCATGATGGTGGGCACGCGCATTGTGCATTTAATTATGCAAATTGAAAATGGCAAATGAGCCAATACATATACTCAAACACACGCACACAAATGGAAGAACTTATATAGCAAGTATATATGTATATATGTGTGTACAAATATGTGCACATAATCCATTTAAGCTGCTGGCTTATGCCCAGTCCAGAGGCCAGTAAAGCTGCAATTAAGCTGTGACAAACTGTGACGCATCCCAGCGAGTGAGTGCAAGCACCCAAATGGACCATGGGTTGCATTTAACTTGTCCCAAAAGCTTCGCTATCTATTTGCACATTTCTAAACAATAATGTTTATATAAGCACATGCCCTTTTCAGCACCTAGTAAGGCAAAACATCAGCAGTTGGCGGCTTATGTATAGGACTTTTATAAAAAACATACTGAAACATTCGCTGCCAAATTCAGTTGTTTCTCATGCTCTATATGATGGGAAAAATGCATTTCAAAAGAACAGTTTGTTACCAGTGAAAAACATGCTCGCCGAGCAGTGCATTTGGAAGGCAGCAAAGTCCGTTTGGTTAACTGATACACGCACACGCACATACACCCACCCTCACACACACAAACACCTTTTGTTTTGTCTATTATGATATATAGTTATTATTATTGTTTTTCAATGCACGCATAAATTAATTACAATTTGTCAGCATGTGCTGGTCGCTGCTTTAAGCCTGCACCTCGATGGGCTTGAAGGACTCGAAGCATTCGTGCAATTTAGTTGCCGTATCACAGTTATTCTCGCCCTTAATGCCACCGCATTTGGTCAGCGCCTCGCGTGTCTTCTCCTCGCCAATAAGTGCGCCGAGCTTCTTAAGAACAACCTCCTCCTGGACAACGCCGTCCTTGAGTGTGCCGACCTTCTCGAAGAAGCAGTTGGCAAAGCACTTGATATTCTCGCTGGGGCTCTTGAAGTCCTTGGCCTTCACCTTGGCGACCTCCTCTTCGGTCAGGTTGACCTCCTTGGCGCACTGCTCACCATACTGCTTGGTCAAAGCCTTTTGATCCTCGGTCAGCTCAATGGGCTGTGCATTTGGGTGTGGTAATGGGTGAAAACAGATCGAAATCAGTTTCTGTATCTATTAGATATAAGTATATGCTAGCTCCGACTCTTTTATTCGAAAGCACCTTTTGGATTTAACTGTACTTTCTTTTTAAATGAACTGGAATCTTATTATATCTGTATAGAAGATCCATTAACACTTCTTTTTCTTTTTAAATTTATATCTCATTACTGTTCTTTAATTTTCTCTTATTTTCTGTAATACCTATATCTTTTGATATTTGTGTAACTCATCTCATTTCTTCCCTCTTCTACTTTTTTTTCACATTTTTTTCCTTAAATTTTTTCTTCCTACATCTAATCCTATTATAACAGTTTCAGAATCGTATATTATTCGCAATATTGTTCGGTTTTTTTCATTACTTCTTTTATTCTTCTTTACTTCACTTATTATTTGATTTACTTTTTATCTTATAGTTCTTAAAATATCACTACTCTTTTCTTATTTTTGTTGACTTTAAACTTAAGTACTTGTCGCCTGATCTATTATTTCTACTAACAGATTCACATTTTATTCGAAATATTATATACCCTCAACTTATCTAATTATTTGATTGTATATATAATAGTTGTGATATCATTTCTATTTCTATATACAAATATAACCTATTTCTTTTTTCTGCTTTTTTCCTTAAGGGTCAGTGCCAACTTTTTTTCTAATATTATTTCTAGCTTCTTTTACTTCTCTTCTGATTTATTATTTCTACTTACCGATGCCATAGCCAGAGCCACAAACACAGCACTCAAAGTGATCACAAAAATGGGATTCATTTTTATATTTTTTATGTACTTATGACTTGTTAGAACGCTAAAGAAGTTCTGATGCTGTGTGGAGCGGCGCGCTGTGCTTTTATAGTCGAATTTTGCAGTAATGAAAGCCGGTTTGTATTTTAATGGGCCTGCGGCAGTGATCTATTCAAGCTGTCGCTTTTTTGCCAGCTTGTAGTTTTATTTATCTACTTTTGTTTAAGGTCTTTTTTTGGTTGCCATAATGGCAAGTACTTTCGTCAACTTCTAGCCTGCGGGCGGGAGCTATGAAAGCAAACCTATTTTTCTTCTAGTTTTGCTTTGGCACATTTAAGACGAACGATCGAATCAATTATGCATGCAGACGGGCATTGTGCAGACGTCTGAAGTGTGGTCTCAAGATCATTAGTCTGCTTTTACCGAATTATGTTTATTTTATCGAAGTATGTTTTGATTTTATTTCATTTTGGGTACAGCTTTAGCGGTAGTTACTTGGCAGCTGCTTAATCATTATCGCACTACTCAATCAGCGCGACCAAATGAAAACTTTGCACTTTGCCAAGAATCTCACCCACATTTTGGACTGGGGACTTTTGAGATATATATCTGAGTGCGAGGTGTAAGTCGTATTGAAAGTTGAAATGCGCGAGGAAAAGTCAAAGGAGCACAAGAAGAAGTGGCAGTGGATGAGGAAGCTGAAGCAGAAGTAAAAGACAGACGACGGCAAAGTTTTTTCATTTGAATCCTATTATTTCAACGTAGTTGTAATCTTATTATCCACGAGATGACAACAAAATGACATTTAGAAAATTTCACGCTGTGTGAAATGTACAAAAACAACAAAAAAATACACACGCACACACACACAAAGGAAAACCAAAGCAAATACGGGAATGCAAGAAAGTCAGCAGAGCAATGCGTGTAGGTGTAGGGAAAGAGAGAGAGAGTGAGAGGGTAAGAGGGAGAGAGAGAGAGAGAGTTGGCAGTAGCTGTCGCTGATGCGTAATGCGGCTGCCACTTCTAGCTGCTGCTGCCGCTTCTTCTTCATGTTTTTCACCAAGTTTTTCCCGCTCTTGTCTGCCTGTCGCTGCTTCCCTTTTAATTTCAATTCTGACATTTGTTTGTCTGCTGTCAAAATAAAGTAGCTTTTGCTCGAAAGAAATAAACCAAAAACAAGAAAAAAATACAGATTGCGATTGAAAATTGCCAACGCTTTGCGCCCAACAAACCAACCGCCCACCCATCCACAGCCACACCCACACAAACACTCAAATAATAATAATAATAATAAACTAAAGCTTGTTTGACTTTGTGTAAATTCTTTGAAATCCTCACGTGGTAATCTTAATTCAATTTGTTTGCGGTTCGCTGAACAAACTTCAAAATTGAAATCTTGAAAGTAGAATGTCGATAATTTAGACATATATATAAGGGACATATGTTTACAGCAATTTAACAATGTGTCCACTTCGCATGCACTTGGAAAGAAAGTTAAACCTAACCTAAAATAAATTTATTTTAAATTTTTAATTGAAAATTAAATTTTAGATCGGCCTGCAAACCAATTAGACCTTTATTCTAAATGAACATTTTGTATATATTGGGAAAAAGTAGTTAAATAGTAAATTTTTGAAATTTATTCTTGTTAAAATTATTTTATGATTTCATGATTCATGTAATATTATTTTTAATAACATAGATATTGCTAAAAAAAAATGCAGTCTGTTCTTTTCCATATTTATAAAAAACTGAAAAAATTCTTAATAAAAGCTTTAAACATTGTTTTAAAAGAAATTGAAGCTAGCAAAAATATTATTATTATTATTATTATTTTTATTTTTTTATTATATTTTATTTTTATTATTATTTTTATTATTATTATTATTATTATTATTATTCTATTTTATTATTATTTGTGTAGCTATGTTTTTTTATTTTTTTATATATTATTCTATTATCTGCTGAAATTCTATTAAGATTATATTATTTGAATAATTTTGCAATCTTCGTATAAAATATAATATTCGGCTTTAAATAATAATAATAAATGTAAACTGTTGTTTTTCGTTTTTTTTTTTTTTGTATTCCTTATAAAAAAGTTTTTGTTTATATCAACGAGTTCAACTTTTATCAAAAATGTTGAATATTTAATAGATTATTTTTGGAGAAATTTCTTTGCTTAACTCCAACCTAACTCTAACCTTATAAGACTCATCTTGCCCATTTATGACAGATTTAAGTGTGAGGCCTAGCTTTAAATGATGTACGTTGCTTAGTACTTGAATTAAGTGTAAAGCCTTATAAATAGAGTCATAGATTCCAAAACCTGGCCAGACAATGAGCTGTGCTTGATTGTGGGGCGAGTTGCCAAATGGCTTTTCTATAAGCTGTGTCTTGCTCTCTCTCTCTCTCTCTCTCTCTTTCTCTCTGTCTTAATCTATAAGCAACAGCAGCTGTCTTTCCCCGCCTCTGCCCGCCCAGCCAGCTAGAGACCCAAGTCGCCTGCTAAGCTACGCTAGAAATTAAGTACAATTTTCATTTTAAATTAAGCTGCCAAGGATGGCGGCCACCCGCACGTTGCCCCCGCTGTCTGCATTTACAGCATTCGACGTCATTAATCACCACAGGAGCAGCAACAACAACAACAACAACAACATTAACAACAACAAGTCTGGGCATTTGTCAGAGCCTTTTGGTTTTACTTTGCTCTGAAGCATTTTCTAATCGTCCAAAAACTCAGCCGAAAAACTTGTGCAGCACATGTCAGAGGGCGCCCCATGCCGCTCTGCCCCCTTCTGCTACTGCCCCTCCGCCCACATAACTATGTAAACTCCAATTTGGTAGCCACCTGTCTAAAAGGGGGACTTCCCCTCTTTCTATTTATTTTTTGTTTGTGCTTTGGAGAAAAATGGTCGCTAAATTTGCGTGAAAAGGCAAATAATTTGAAATTCCCGCGGGGTTCTAAATAAGTAAATTTAAATTGCATTTGTATGCGTTAAAAATTTGTAGCCTTTTATTTATATATATTATTTCAACATTTAATTTTACGGATTGTTGTTGCTTTTTTTTTTGTATTTTTTGTTGGTCGGGTGGGTATTGTGGTGGGCAGCACAACAAGTTTCTGTTGCTGCTGTTATAAATTTGCGTGTCAAAAGCGACGCGGAAAAGCTGATTTTTTGTTGATGTTTTCGCATTCGAATGCAAAGTTCCGACCGAGTACCATTTACTACGTATTCCCCATTAGTTGCTCCTCAACTTCGCTTGTGTGTGTATGTGTGTGTGTGTGTGTGTGTGTGTGTGTGTGTTTGTGCAAATGTTAATGTCCTTATCAGCGCTTCAGCATTTTTACATGTGTCCCGTTTGAAATATGCGGCGCTGTTTTTCTGGCGCTTTGCATGCGGTCGAGTTGAGTTCGGTGGTTTTATACCCTGCAGCAGAGCTTTAAAGGGGTATATTCCATGTGCAGGTGATGTCCAGTTGAGACACTCAATTTGAATGAAAACACATTTACTTACACACAAATTATAAATGTTTGGCATTCAGAAACAAACAAGTTATTCCGATTTTCATATTACCTTAGGTTTCAGATTTCTATTTCTATGAAATACCTATTTACCAGGCACATAAATCTAGTATATTATAACAATATATTCCTTTTAGAATTTTTATCCTTAGCATTTGTTCAGTTGTAATGTATTTACTCCAAATAAAATATTTTTATTTGTTCTTGTATAAATAAGATTTTATATAAGTATTTCCGTTATTTTTATATTGCGTAGTTTTGTAACCATTTAAATCAAGTAAAGCTCCATGCTCAAAGTTATTTTTATCACAAGCAAGTTTCATTCAAACGTTTTTCGCGGGTTCTCCGCAAACCCCGCGTGCACCTTCATAACATAAAGTAACTACAGTGAAAATGTTGGCTTCCTATCAATCAGTCAGTCAGTCATTCAGTCAGTCAAGCAAACAGTTTAATATGTTTAGAAACATATTTAAGTCAATTTTCTACAAGCTTATATCTTTGTCAGGTATTACAGGGCATATTGACAAGGAGTTTACTAATTTAAATTGTTCGGACTCGTACTTTTTTGTGTGCTACTTCCGTTGCAGTTGATGTCAAGTGTCAAGTGCTGGACAGTTGAAGTTATTTATTATAACGACAATTACATAGAAACCGATGTTGGTGGTGCTGCTGGTGGTTGTGGTGGTGCTGGTTGTGGTTGCTATTGCTGTTGCCTGGCGGTTCACATGTTGTCAGAGCGTTTTGCCCTTTGTCAATAATTACATTTGTGTTAAATGCAAATTAGAAAATGCCACGAAAAGTCCGCTGAAAAAGAAGTGGCCATAATGTGTTTTGTCGTACGTTTGTTATGGCTGCTGCTGCTGCTGCTGGCCACGCCCACCAAAATCACACACACTTACACACGCACACACACACACACACACCATTTGCGAATGTAATAAAATTGCAAGGCAGCAGCATGAGTTACGCCCACATTTTGCACAGAAAAATCTCTTACGCCAACATTTCGCTTTTGTGTGCATGTTTGTTATGCTGTCGCTGCCCCCTTTTCTGCAGCCATGCCCCCTTGCCGCATGCCCCCTGAAACGCGTGCCTGTTTCAGTGCCCTTTCTGCATAGCAAAGAGAAAAATTTGCTAATGTAATGATGCTTAAAAGTGTTTCAAAGTATTTCTAACCATTTGCCATGTTTATTTTTATTTAAATGCCAACATGTGCGTATGTGTGTGCTTGTATATATATACGCATGTGTGTGCGTGTGTTTTGTGAGTCTGTCTTTTGGGTATTTGCATTTCTCTTAGTGGGCGTTTGATTGAATTGAAAATGCTTGCCAAAAAATGTTCTCCCAGTTTCCCTGCTCTTTCTTTCTCGTTTTCCTTTTTTTTTCGTCTTAGCTTTGCCTTTGCTTTTGTCGCTGCTTTGTGCGCTGTTTCACTCAAGGGTTAAAGGAACTCGCACATAATTTGCTAAATGGCTTAAAGTGTGAGCTGGGCACAGCTTTGAAATCCCCAAGCCAAGCCCATGACAAATCAACACAAGAGATTTGATGCA